CAGGGAGGCAGTGAAGGACAAGAAGGCCTGGCGCGATAGGGTTCATGGGGTCACGAAGAGTCAGACACAACTTAACGACAACAACAACAATATAAAATAAACAGCTTTTCGTGGGAACCAAAATTATTTTGTCTACTATACATAGTAACAGAGATTAGAAACTTTATGATCTAAACTGGACACTAGAGGGGACTAAAGATTCCAAGCAAAGAAAAAAAAATTAAACCTGCTTTCAGTTTGGATCAGGATTGGGATTTACAAAATGACACAAACATTTGAAATACTAAAGGAGATCTTTAAAGAATGGGGCCAAAAATTAGTACCCACAATATCAACAATATCAATAATGATGTCTGCTTCTATGGATAGACTATGTTCAAAAAATGTTAATGAAGGAATGACAGGTGTGAAACAAATCTTGCTTGATGCAGAAATAGTAGAATCAGAATTACTGGATTAAAAAAAAAGTGTGGATTAAAATACAAGTGACAGGCCAAGAGAATGACCTGGATAAGGACTCTTTACTGGATATACAAAAGAAGCTGGCTAAAGTTTTAAAAATTAAGGGGAAATACAAATGATAAACCAAGAGAATGACTTGGATAATGTCTTTTTGTTGGAATTGCAAAAGAGGCTTGTTAAAGCCTCAAAGAAGGCTTAGTGATGGGACAAAGAGGAATTGAAGAGAGATCAAATCCTACCACAATATTTGAGTGAATTCAAGATTAAGATTTTCAGAAGTAAAAGGAAAGAATATAAAGTTGGTTTATTGGATCAAAGTTAAAATAAGGCATGTTTTTATAAAGTTCTGGCAACCCTTTACGGATCATATTGCAAGATTCTGTCAACGTAGCTTTACAATAAAGTAGAAATAGCTCATCTGGTTGTGACTCCTATCTGGTTTTCTCTGCGAGGACAACATCAATCTTGCAAGTATGAAAGGCAGGAAGTCACAAGTCTCGGTCACGTGAGATCCTTGTTTAATGACCCATCATCCTTGTATAATGACCTGTGATCCTCACTTAACAACAGCAACAGGGACTGCCAGGATGCTGTTGCTAAGCGATGTGGTCACATGACATTGAGCTTTATGACCGCATCATTTAG